GATGTACAAGGGCATGTAACGAGACGAGTGAAAGTGTCGGCGGCCTTGTAAACCAGGCGTCACACGGAATTGAAATGCTTGATAAGAGAGCGGGATGTTAAGCCTTCGGTCGAGAACTAAAGTAGGCTGACGCTTCCATGTCGCTTCCACACACTGCGCATCCATTACATTGACCTGCGCATCATGTCCAATAGGACATGCAGGACCAGCTATCAGTGCGGAGTCGTGCAGCAATGTGTTTGCTGTTCAGCGCCAAAACAACGGAAAAGACGTACCATTGGAGGCTCACGTTACACAACGTCACCGAGCTGCATGGCCAATACCCGTGGGATAAGACATATATGCAGAGGTCGGAATATGAAGCGAGGAATGATTGGATGGGATCGCATAGCACTGCGAGCGCATAACCGGCAAAGTCGTAGTGTCGTGGCTTGAGATTCTGGAGAGGTGGATAGACTAGAGAGAGACGAAGGTGGCGGCTAGCAATGAAATGCGCAACTGCCATTGGCAGACATCATGACCATAACCTCCTTCCTGTACTCCCCTTCCCAAACACCCTACAACGCCTTCCTAACCGCACTCTTAAACGGAATGATCTGCACATCATCCAAATTCCACACACCCTCCTTAACATAAACATCCTGCTTCAACCTCTCTACAACCTCCTCCCTCGTCTTAGCACCGATGAGGCACGCCGAGCCCTTCATCTTCGGTGGGTTCGTGTCGCCTTCTTTGATGGGTTCCTCGAGCATCGCTCCTACGAACATGTAGCATTAGCTTTATTCTATCTCAAGTGCTCGTACAAAGGAAGGATGTGAACATACCACCCCACAACCACATATCCTCCCTATCCGCCTTCAAACCCTCCAAATGTTTCGGGCGACTCGCAATACGTTTCTGCAACGCATCCTTGTGATCAGGCACGATGATGAGCCATTCTTGTAGTGGAGCGGTAGACGATGCCATTGTACGGTGTCGGAATTGCGGTACGAAGCGTGTTGGTGTTGCGAGGACGGGACGGAAGGTGCGGAGGGCAAACATATGTCTCTTGGAGCAAGAAGGTGGGCGTGTGGGGCTGCGGCTATGAGAGCTTGGGAGAGCTACGAGAAGGAGCGCGTGTTAGCTTCTTGGTAGAGGGAATTGAGTGGAGAAAGATACGTACGGTAGGCAGTACTTCCAAGGGCGCGTGTTGGTTGTACTGTGGTAGGGCGCAATGTGGGGAAGATGTAGCTTCCTCTTCGGAATTAAGCCGCGGCTTTCGGAACGTGACACGCTAATGTTGGAGCGTGGGGAAATTGAAGACATCACGGTGTGGGCGAGATGCAATTGCTGCGGAAAAAAGTGTTACAAAGAACGTTGTGTTCGCTACATACATTATGGCTTGACAGTAAACACATCCAACTCATGAGCTCATACCTCCTTGCGTTAATCCAAGCGTACCTACGCGTAAAGACCACCAACGCCGAAAACAAGCGGAAAGACCATATGCGTAAGAGCGCTGCTCTTAGCTAAACCCGCCCTGCCAATGTACATTGCATTGCTTAACCACTGCACATAACGCAGGACTCAGGGTTCTCTATCGAGCAAGCAAGGGCGGCTTCAGCATAGATGTCACCATCCCGGTCCTCGCTGTCATCCTTGGAGTCCTCTTCTTGTTTGTCCTTCCTGGTGATCTCCTCGTCGGGCTTGACGGCTGCATCAGCAGCTACCATCTTTGGGCTCGCGCCCTCCTCCACATCGGCCTTGAAAGGCTTGCTTGCGAGAGCGTTGCGGGTCTCTGTGACAGGCGTTGGGGTAGCATCTGAGGTAGCACCTGGGGTGGGAACACCGTTCTCCTCCTCCTTCTTCTCCTCGCCGTTGGTAGGCTTGGTGGCATACATTGGGCGAGGTGCTGAGGATGGGGTTTGAGAAGCAGTGACAGGTGAGTGTCGGATAGCCTCAGGCTGGAAACCCGGTTGCTTTCGCACCTTGGGCAGAGCACGAGCAACGTTGGTGTCTACGACGTTAAGGGCCTCTTGGTCGACAGTAAACTGGATGGGTGCCGAGGCAGCCATGGTGCGAAGGTAGTACATGCCTGTCTTGAGACCAGCCTTCCAGCCAGCAAAGTGCATGGAAGTGATCTTGCCCATAGTCGGCTCCTTCATGTGGATGTTGAGAGATTGAGACTGGTCAATGAAAGCACCACGGTCAGCGGCCATCTCAATGATCCTCTTCTGCGAGATCTCCCACACGGTCTTGTAGAGCGTCTTTGTCTCCTCGGGGATGTTGGGAATCCTGGCGATGGAACCGCCATCAGCGATGATGCGGTTCTTCATGTTCTCGGACCAGAGGCCCATGTCGACGAGGTCCTTGAGCAACCATGGGTTGACGACCTGGAACTCACCGGCAAGGACACGGCGAGAGTAGATGTTGGATGTGTATGGCTCAAAGCACTCGTTGTTGCCCAGAATCTGAGAAGTAGAGGCAGTCGGCATGGGCGCGATGAGCAGAGAGTTGCGTACACCGTGCTCAGCGATCTTCGCCTTCAAGGCAGCCCAGTCCCAAAGGTCAGTAGGCTCGACACCCCACATGTCATATTGCAGTTGACCCTGGGAGACAGGAGATCCCGGGTAGGTCTCGTAAGGACCAAGTTCCTTTGCAATATCGCATGAAGAAGTGAGAGCAGCATGGTAGATAGTCTCGAAGATCTGAATGTTGAGCTTCCTCGCTTCATTGGACTCAAAAGGCATGCGGAGGGCAAGGAAGGCATCAGCGAGACCCTGGACACCCATACCGATGGGTCGGTGGCGGAAGTTGCTGCGGCGTGCCTCTTCGACTGGGTAGTGGTTGACCTCGATGATCTTGTTCAGGTTGCGAGTGACGACCTGTGTGACTTCGTGGAGCTTCTTGAAGTCAAACTCGCCACGCTTGTAGTCGACGAAGGAAGGCAGGGCAAGAGAAGCCAAGTTGCAGACGGCAACCTCATCAGGAGCAGTGTACTCGACGATTTCAGTGCACAGGTTGGAGCTGCGGATGGTACCGAGATTCTTCTGGTTGCTCTTGCGGTTGCAAGCATCCTTGTAAAGCATGAAGGGGTTACCAGTCTCGGTCTGAGCCTCAAGGATGGCGTACCAGAGCTTCTGGGCGCGGACAGTCTCGCGACCCTTGTTCTGCTTCTCGTAGCTCTCGTACAGAGCCTCGAACTCGTCACCATAGACATCGGCAAGGCCGGGGCATTCATTGGGGCACATGAGTGTCCAGTTTCCATTGTCTTGGACACGCTTCATGAACAGGTCGGGAATCCATAGAGCGTAGAAAAGGTCACGAGCACGGACCTCCTCTTTGCCGTGGTTCTTGCGCAGGTCGAGGAAACCGAAGACGTCGGCGTGCCATGGCTCGAGGTAGATGGCGAAAGCACCGGGACGCTTGTTGCCACCCTGGTCGACATAGCGAGCAGTGTTGTTGTACACACGGAGCATAGGGATGAGACCGTTAGATGTTCCGTTGGTGCCACCAATGTATGAGCCAGTAGCACGAATGCGGTGGACGTTGAGACCAATACCGCCGGCAGTCTTGGAGATCAACGCACATGTCTTGAGTGTGTCGTAGATACCGTCAATGCTGTCTTCCTTCATGTCGATCAAGAAGCATGACGACATTTGTGGCGATGGTGTACCCGCGTTGAAAAGTGTCGGCGAGGCGTGTGTGAAGTACTTTTGAGACATGTAGTCGTAGGTCTCGATGGCCTTCTCAATGTCGGCTCCGTGAATACCGACAGCGACACGCATGAGCATGTGTTGTGGGCGCTCGGCGACCTTGCCGTTGATGCGGAGGAGATATGAGCGCTCAAGCGTCTTGAAACCGAAGAACTGGTAGTTGAAGTCGCGGTCGTATACTATAGCCGAGTTGAGCTCGTCGGCGTTGTCCATGATGACCTTGTAGATGTAATCAGATATCATGGGTTGGCGGGTGTTGTTCTTAGGGTTGACATAGTTGTACAACTCTTCTACAACTACAGAGAATTGCTTCTGTGTCTGCTTGTGAAGATTCGAGACGGCGATACGCGCAGCGAGGATGGCGTAGTCGGGATGTGTGGTGGTCATGTATGCTGCCGTCTCGGCGGCCTGTCGTCTGTTAGCCACTGGAAAGACATTGAATTCATTGAAAGCCGTACCAAGTCGTCTAGCTGGACGGTGTTGACACCCTGGTAGACACCAGAAATGACCTTCATGGTGATAGCAGCGGGGTCAACATGGTCTGGGTCGAGGCCGTAACACAGCCTTGAGACTCGTGCTGTGATCTTGTCGAACTGCACGCGTTCCTTGCGTCCATCTGAAGTCAATCGTTAGTGGTGAAGATTTGAGGCGGTGAAGGCAAAGCAGTACATACCACGCTTGAGGACGAACATGTTGAATTAGAAAAGTAGTGGGGGTATCTGTGTGGGTATCGTGAAGAGAGTGTACTGAGGAGAGTGCAGGAGTGAGGGGTGGGTGGACGCAGGGACACTTATAACGCGTAAAGAGAAGAAACGCGTCCCGTCGCGTTGCTTGGGTCACGGATCCGTTTAGTGCTAAAGTGGCTGCTTGCATAAGCAGAGCAGGCGTGGCAGGGATGTGGAGTCGGGGAAGCGACCGCCGATGCCCGAACTTTTCGCGGGCGACAGCATCGCGGCGTGCAAGAGGCTGAGGTAGTGCAGCAACATCAAGACTCCCTCCACGCCCTTTCCGGTCTATAAAGAACCAATTGCCCGTCATGGCAGGCGGTCACATGAAATATCGCCACCTCAGTCGGTCGTCGTCGCATCGTCAAGCGCTCCTGCGGAACCTCGTCACATCGCTCTTCAAGCACGAGACAATAGCGACAACATGGCACAAGGCGAAGGAGGCACAGCGGTTAGCGGAGAAGCTGATTACCCTCGGAAAGAAGAACACCGAGGCGACACGGCGGAGAGCGACACAGATCTTCTATGTACGAGCCCCAATGGCATGTCCAGAGCGCGCACTGATGATATCAGGAACCAAATGAAATGGTACCCAAGCTATTCGGCCCCATAAGAGAGCGCTACGAATCCAGGCCCGGTGGCTACACCCGAGTTCTCCGCGTCGAGCCCATGAAAGAAGATCAAGCCGAATCCGCCATCCTCGAACTCGTAGACGGACCACGAGACATGCGCTTCGCCATGACCGCAAAGACACTAGCGAGGAGACCAGCAAATCTAGGTCTGACACCAGGAATCACAACGCACGTCAAGAAGGTCACACAATTCCGCAAGGACGGTGTAGATGGCTTGCGGGACATGGTCGAGAGATTACGGATACTACATTCCACAGGTCTGGACAGGAGGACATTGCCCGCGCCTAAGAAGGTGTACCCAGAGATTGGGATGAAGAGGGACATGCATTACTTTGAGGAGGTTGATATGGGCAAGGCCCCCAATAAGGTCGTTGGACCAGGAAAGCAGAAATACTTGATAGAAAGGAGCCGAAGGTTACAGCAAGAGAAGGAGGAGCGCACAAGGGCGCATAAGGAGAGGATGGAGAAGATGAAGAAGGTCAAGGCGTGAGATGTCACCCTGAAAGCGAGGGCGCTGTCCCGCGAAGCCTCTGTAGCAAATGTGTACATGTACAACGAACAGGTGTTCAATACTCCTTCTATGCGGATTGATGAAGCCAATTTCGAGCAAGCTTTGTGACGCAGCGTACGTCTTTATAACAACGCAGGTGATCACAAGTCCCTCAGGAATCTCAGTGCCACTGTCTCACCCAGTTTGTAATTTGCTCATATACACGCTCGAGATGTCGAGGTGACCCAGATCTCGAAGTCTGATATGTCGTAGTGAAGGATCCCCTCACTGGGCTAAACGCCGCAGTGACCACGATATCAAATCCGAGATAAGGCTGCCTAGGTATATATAAACAGATCTTCTGCGACTTTGTCTCCCTCCCTCCTTCATCCCCTAAACGCTATCTTCGCAACAACCAGTATGGCGTCCACCAACCAACAACAGCAATCACAGACACAGCCGCGTATATCGTAAGTCATTATACCCGAGTCCCAGTACTACCCAAGATGCTAACCTCAATAGAGCACCCAACACCGCTATGGCAAAGATTGTGGTTGGCCCCAAGGCAAAGCGCTTCACTGTGCAGCTCAACCTTATCGTCTACTACTCACCCTTCTTCCTCGCTGCCCTTAAAGGACCCTTCAAAGAAGCCAAAGACAAAGTCGTCACCCTGCCCGACACTGAAGCGAACATCTTCGAGCTCTTCGTCAACTGGCTATATCGTCAACGGTTTCCTACGCAGGCAGACTCTCCCCAACTACTCGCGCTCTACAGCCAGGAAGACAACCCATACTTCCAATCCGCTAGGCTGATGAAACTCTACGTGTTCTCCGACAAGTACAATGTCCCTAAGCTGAAGCGACAGTGCCTAGATGCGCTATTCGAGCATCTCGGCGATGCATCTGGATATCAACTGCCGGATCTAAACGACGTTGCCTACGCGGTCAAGAACTTGAACGATGAGGATCCGCTTCTTCGCATGATCGTCGACGGCTTCTGCTACCACGGTAACAGTGAATGTTGGAATGATGACCAGATCCAGAATTTGCCGCTTCCTTTCATAGCACGGCTTATGAGACATCTTAGCGATTTTCGCGATTATGGTCAAGAAGACGTTAAGGAGCCTGAATTATGTGACTATCATGGTCATGCAACGGATGAAGAGAGGGAGACATGTGAGAACAGGCGGGAGAGGGAGGAGGAGGCGAGGGATATGATGAAGGATTGAGGATCGAGAGAAGCTTTGGTGGGTTCCTGAAAATGACGATTGAATGAGCTGGAGTTGCAAGGTGTTTTACGGCATGGAGGTCTAGTTGGCGAGGGTAACAACTTGGAGTACCGGAGTTGATTGACTAATTTTGTATTTCGAATTGGCGGGTAATGGTATATCGACGAAGGAAAGGCCTATTTGGCGAGGGTATTCGGACGCGTTGTTCCTTCGAACGCAAGATAGACTGCTTTTCTTAGAATCACACACTTGTAAAAACCCCATTTTGATAGTCGACGACAATTGCCTTCTCGAGTGCCGATGCTGCCGCCTCCTTGAACGTCTTGTGAACTGGATCATCATTAACGTAGTAATCACGGTCTTCGATGGAATGGAACTGCAGGACGAAAGCGTGGCTGATGCCGTTCTGGTCGACAAGGTCAGATTGTTGACGATCTCCATGCATCGATCGGCGCGGAATACCTGCAGATTCTCAGTCGAGATATCCTTCCCTCCCGAGATCGAAACGATGTACGGCCTCAGCGTAGTTGGATGTATGCATGTTTTCTTCAGCCCAAAGAATTGCGCAATCACCTAAGAAGTGGTCTCAGCGTCGCTCATCAGCGTGGGTCTTGCGCGCGTCTAACCTCCTTGACAGCGAATTTGCTGGTGCCATCTTTGAATTGGAACAACACGATATGCGTGGTGTAGGGTATGACTGGCCCATACGGCCCGAAAAAGTACTCGGCGAGCGAATGTCCCACCGTCCGCGAGAAAAGTATAAGGCCTGTCGCGAGAAGCAGGCAGACAACGAGCCCGAAGGCCTTCTTTGGTATCATCATGCCGCTAGGAGATAGCTCCGTGGAGCGCGTGAAGTTGGCAGTGGTTCAATGCAAAAGCAAATCTATGCGCGCACTTTGCTGCAAGACAACAGCGGAAGCGCATTGGCAAAAGTGCGACAAGGATAGAGGGAAAATCATCCCCCTCCCCGACGCAAAGGCAAGGTGTACCTGTCGACGAACCGAGGGGGATGCGAGCGCTAAATCCTGGAAGCACACAGCCCGCAGCCGCAAATTGCTGGCAGCGGATGGGGTAGTGGGTCCGAGCTCCCTGCTCACTCCACTTCCAAGTGACGTACCTGAATGAGAAACGCACGAAGGAAGCACGTCGAACGTCGAAAAGCCAGTCTTTGGCCGTGCTGTGGCCATGCTAAAGTTGCTATGGCGTGCAGTCCAGGCCCGCTCCAGGGCAAGTGGACGGGACTTGCATCAATTGGGACGGGCTGAGCCAGGTTCTGGCTCGATTGTCCACGATTGAGTGGGGCCTTGGCATCTACGTCATAGGAATGTCAGGTGCAGGCCCTCGCTGCGGGTGCGACTACAAAAGAGCTCGTCTTCCTGGTCTCCTGCAAACCATCACCACAAGCAATCTCACTTTACTCCTCCCCATAACCTCATCAAACCACACACTACAATGGCTTCCCTACACTGTAAGCATACACTCACTCCATGTCTGAGCTGCTGCCCGCACTTGCACGGGCAATTGGCAATATCAGGCAGCTTCCGCATCGCAATTGAAGAGTTTGACTAACAATTCATCTCAGACCTTCCCCCCGTCAAGCCCTCTGCCATCGCTCTCGGCACGGCCTTCAACCACGCCGTCTCCCTCGCTGTCCTCGGCCCCGTCTTCGGTGACGCTTACCGCCGCGCACAGCAGGCCAACTCCAAGGAGGAGTACTTCCACAGCAAGGAGGCCGCTACCGCCGCCGCGTCGTGGGGTAGCTCCGTTCTCGGCTCTGGTATCCAGGCCTACGGTGTCGGTGCTCTGATCAACGCTACCGGAACACTCACCTACAAGGGTGCTGCTTACCTCGGCTCCCTGATCTTCTTCGCCTCCGCTGCTCCCTCCGTACGTCACCACACATGTCAACCAAGTTATCCGAATATACACTAACGTGTCATCAGATTGTCTCCCAGGTCGTCACCGAGAAGCGCCCCATGGACACCATCGCCATTGGTGCTCTTGCCCGCGTCCTCGAGACCGTCGGTCTCAGCATGTTCCTCACCTACTGGGGAACCCGCACCAACCCCTTCGACTAAGCGTCTCGCCCTATAATGGCAGAGGAGTTTAGGGATTCTCATCTTTGGCGGTTTAGATTGATGCTTCAGTCAGCGAATGATGCAGATGATATGAGCTAGCAAAAGCTTGATAAAAGGCTTGCTTCTTACGATGTAATATACCTCAATGAAGGAAATAATTCATGCAGTCGTCTTGATCATGCAATTGTGACTTATCTTGATCGTGTTTCTAATCAATGCGCTTGAAAGTCATATACGTCTATGAGATAATGTCCTGGAAACCTGGTAATGTTAGCACCTATCCGGACGTATGAATTGCTCGGACTCATTCTTTGACGTGCCCTGTGTCTTTCTTTTGGACACGCTGCGTGCATGAAGACGTTGATTTATTCTCGCACAACCTTTGCCATTCCTATATTTTCGCATGACATGACAATAGAACTTACAAGTCTTAGTGACCGAAGACAAGCTGTTACGGGAAACAAAATCAATTCAACTTGCTTTACATGACATTGACGACATTGACGAGATTGACTCTTGTCTTTCTGCGAAGGCGTGATGGTGATGTCGAAGCATGACAACTATGACGTTGAACAACTTCGTGCTATGAGTTACCCGGAAGTCTTCCTGAATACCTTACCTAGATATGTTCGCTGCCTGCAGCTGCAAAGAAGACTGAGGCTTGCTTATCAAGACCGCAGCTGTGGATTGCATTCAGAAGAATATGTATGCCAGCGTGGGTATCATCATGTTGTGAGCGGAATCTTTTGAATGCCTTTACTAGTAGCAGGAAAAGAAATGTTACCAAGATGGGTGTGATGTAAACACGGCTAGTAAGAGGCTCTCCATGTCTGCGGTGATGTTAGTCGTTAGACTCGTGACGATGTCTTTTACTATAGTTTTAGAATAAACATATTCTACTGAACACGAACGAAGAACTGGATGTATTGTAGTTCGAAAGATTGGGATTCATGCGCAAAAGCCTTGGTCAATACAAGAAGTTGGGGACGGAACAAAGCTTTTGTAAAGAATGATCATTCTTAGGGATGCTGTAATGCTTCTGTCGACTTGCTCCCCGTGTGACTACCGATTCTTTCGACATAGGATCTGCTGTACCGTGATTGCGGTATCTAGGTGTACTCCTGGTGTATGGACAGCAGCTGATAATTTCTTTGGTGTTGGTCCTGCGCGTGATACTGAGAAGAGCGATGTTTTGTGGCAGTCTTCGCTGTGGTTTCAGCCTGAAGCGGACAAGTCATGGATCGGAACTCATTATCTGGGAGGACTTCCAGATGCGGCCGCGATGCTGCATTATCGTTTCGAACGACGAATGCAAGATCCACACAATCGCCATCTTCTCAATGTCAACCGTTTATGTTCCCCCGCAGCTTTTCTTCATCTTGCAATCTCATTGCGCTTCCACACCTCACCCCCTCCCCGCCGCCTCCAATAACCCCGACACAGTCGTAACCCTATACCCCCTCCTCTTCAACACGGGCAACACCTTCCTCAACATCGGCGCCGTCCACCCCCTCCGATCATGACAAATAACAATACTACCCTCCCTCACCATACTAAGCACATGCCTCGCATTCACCCCCGGGTAAGCAATCTGCGCATCATGAGGATACACACTACCCAGCACCATCTGGTACCCCATCTCCTTGATCTGCGCCCTCATCCTCGTGCTGAAAAACCCGGAGCCAGGGCGGAAGTAGCGCGGCGGATGCGGTTTTCCGACCGCGTCGTAGGTGCCGTTGATGTAGCCTTCTACTTGCGTTACTTCTGCGGTGAGGGTGGAGGGGCTGAGGGAACGGGATGGCTCGTCGTGCATGGCGTGGTTTCCTAGTTCCATGCCGCTTTTCACGAGAGCCTCGAGAGCTTCTTGTCTTCCTGGGACTTGGCCTCCAATGACGAAGAACGTTGCGTGCGCATCGTATTCTTCTAGAACTTGCAGAATCTCCTTTGTGTACTCCGACGGCGCATCGTCAATCGTCAAAGCAATGATTTTCTCCCCTCCCACTGTTTTTGGTAAAGGCACGTGCCAAAGCACATCGGGCCACCTCCGCTGGAAATACCGTATCAACGCATTCGGCGGCTTATAAATGACGTAAAAAGGCAGCACAAAAGCCACTATGACAAACACAAGGAAGAACATGGTGTACATGCGTCGACGGCGCTTCGCTCGCGTTGTCGGCAGGCGGAAGAGGCGCAGCGGAAGGCGGGGCATGGTATGCCGGTGTACAATGGGATTTCAGGATCGCGATCTTTCATCGTAGGGAATGCGGCGCGAGATTGGAGGAAGTCATGTGGGGTAGGTATTTAGGGTGTGTGTTGAGGATGCACGTTGGTGGTTGCGTTGCGTGGGTGAGGCTTGCTCGTGTTGGTGGTGGATCAAAGGGGTTAGGGGCACATGCAGGGTTGTTCCATCGGGTTTAGCGCAGACACGTGCAGGCGTGGTTTGAAGAAAATCGCGGTCCGTGAAGTTTCTTCTCTCGTGTACTCGACACCGCGCTCGCGATGCGCAGTATTTTCGGCTGCACATCGCACAGTATTGACGCGTGTACGTCGTGTATGCTGGGCATGGCGCGCATCATTGCCTATGATGCGGTGCTTATGTCGTTTCCAGAGTTTGAAACGACTGAGGTCCACCAGGATATACGCGCCCGCGAACCTCACCCGTACTCGTCCGTACATCACGATTTTCAACCTTTGTAGAATCAGGAACCAATTTGTCACGCTTGCTCGAATAGCTACAACTTCGATACAAGCCCTCTAAGAATGTTCCAAGAACGACCCCGTGAGCGTTTAATTGACCTGGCTGCCTTACTATGTGGCTACTCGGGTCTCATTGCGTTCATACATTCCCTGTCTAACCTCGATGCCCTGCGTTGTTTTACGAGGATGCTGTACGATTTGGAAGCATCTGGAATGTCGGATTCC